CATAATAAAGCTAAAAAAAATGGCTCTATATTGTTGTAGAGCATCTAACGAGGAATCCAAAAATTATAATTTTATTTTTATAAACGCACTGGTTCAGAAGTTTTAGGGATTTGAAATCGCATACCCCAGTGTGATATACATGTAATTTTGGAAAATATTTATAATGGTTGCATATCACACCAAAAATTTTTGAAAAATACTTGTCGAAAGGTTTATTGTTTTACCTGTGCAAAATAGTATAACCACTAGTATAACCACTATTATAACCGTTAGTATAACCACTCTAGTATAATCACTCTAGTATAACCACTCTAGTATAGCCACTCTAGTATAACCACTAGCATAACCACTAGTATAATCACTAGTATAACCGACTCATACATAAGTTATAGCCACTCTAGTATAACCACTAGCATAACCACTAGTATAATCACTAGTATAACCGACTCATACATAAGTTATATGTTTACTATACATTTTATACACATATGGGCTATGGTGCTGCAAAAAGGTGGAAATTGGCAAATTTTTAAAATTACTTTTTTTTGCATAAATTAATTTAGAATAAGGTCAGGATTATTTTTTACTTAAGACATAAAAGTAGTTGTATTAATAAACTTTTGCAGTATTACTCTTCAAAATTTGCAGTTGCGTATCTACAATTTGTAAATTGCATATACATCATTGTCAATTGAATATGCATCATTGTCAGTATTTCCTAAAGGAGTATAGTGGGAAAAACAAAAGTAGTTGCGAAAATAAAAAAAATGTATGTTGCGTATGGTAGCGAAAATAAAAAAATGTATGTTGCGTATGGTAACGAAAATAAAAACTGTATAATATACATATATGTATGATAACTACCAACATCTGCTTATCGTTATATTGTTATTAAAGCAATTATATAGGATTTTTTTTTTTTTTTTTACAAATAATTTAGCAAAGCAACCAATAATTAAATAAGCATATACTTTATGACTAATTTTCTAAGCCATATTCACGCTCTTTAACTAAATTAGAAATGTGGAATTCTCTTAGTCTTTCTTTGAGCCTTGACAAGTTCGCATTTTACGCTTAACCTCAACACCAAGGCAGGAACTCATAACTTTGTATTCACCTTCAAACTTATCAATTGAGCATTGAATCTAAATAATTTAATAAATCAATTAAAATTTATTAAAATTATTTTAAATCAAAATGTATTACTTAGGTTCTTTCCAACCTTCTACATTAAATACTAAATACATATGCAACATCTTCCAGATTGTAGCAGGATATTCTATAGTCGTTATTCTGTGATGGACAATTTGTGATGTTATTTCTTTTGTAAAATAAAATGTGTTATTTTCATTATTAGTATTGTGCGTTGCTGCCGTGTCATTTTCAATGTTTAAAGCTTCATTTTCTGAAGGTAAATCCTATTGTATAAATAATTATTTGAATTCTAATTCGTAATAATAATGAATTATATCAGTTTCATATCTATCATCGTTAAATAACTCTAAATCCTCCTCATACAAAGTTTCCAAACCATCGATAATTCGAAAGCTACGACCTTCTATTTAAAGGTATGTGTTTTTTGAGCCGTATAAGATAAAGTTTGATTTAGGATTTTTCGTTCGTAATAACGAAAGCTACAAACTTATTCATTATTACATTGTTAGTTTTATTTTGCTAGAGCACATACTTTTAATACAAATTCAGGAAATCGATAAAATTATTTTGATCGTTTGATTATCTATCATACACGTGAATATGATTATAAAACCTGTCATACGCAACGACTATACTCCTTTAGGTAGTACTCCATTATTGTCAATTCAAATCATATACTACGCACGTACGTACCTAGGTAATCCAGTATACGAGTATACACAATGTTCGTTATACGTTTTTGATCATTTTTTATAATCAATAATTGTGGGTTATTATGCTGAAATGGATTGTGCTGAAAATTTTTCATATTTTATTATAAATTGTAAAATTTTTTAGGACCTTTTTTGTGGTTTTTTTTTCATAGTTAGGTTAGGGTTAGGGAGTAGTAGTTTTATTAATAAAAAAAAGTATGTGTGAATTTTAGTAACTTTTGTAGATTTAAAAAGAGACCCTAATTTTCAGCATAATCCCCCACAATAATTAACGTGCCTAATATAGCTTTAAAAATTTTTATTAAAATTTACAAATACAAATGCCTTTACATAAATTAGAATATAACTAGGGTTGTTATAAACTGATAATTTACATATTTTTATGATAAATTATATAATATTATGATTAGATATAATAGAAATATAAAATATAATTATACACAAAACATAATAGAAATCTAATAAAACGCTAGAATCTAATACAAGTTTCTTAACAATTTAGTTACAGGATCACGAAATGGCACAGTTTTGATGATTCTGTATAACAATATAATATAATAAATGTTTAAAAATAACAAAATCAAAAATTTTTCAAATAGATATTTTAATTGAACTACAGTAGCTCTTGGGAACAGATTCAACTTCTTAACCCAGGAATTGGAAGGATAACTTGGTAATTCATATAGGAGGGTCCCGTGTCAGAAACAGAAATTTTACTAGTAATGTTAACTATCCATTAGGATTAGTGAATCTTTAATTACTCGTTAGAGCTAGTGAAGTCATTAGCTATTCGTTTACTCTATTACGATAAGATTTCTTCCTTTTCTCAACTTCAAATGCTGACTGAAAATCGAAAGCTTTAATGCAAATGCAGCTAACCGAAATTTTTATGGTACACCTCGTTTTTGTTACAGCTAAGATATTTATCTTCAATCTTATCACGTCACATAATTGCATAAGATTTTCTTTGAATTGTAAGACGTGAGTGAATAGTCAAATTTGCAAAAAAAATTCATTGATGCTGTAGTCGATGATGTATAATTTGGAGTGCGTTGATAATTCGACAATTTACTTGCTTCTATGTTAATTGGTAATTAATTTTATATTTTTTGCAGAAATCAATGGCCTTTTTATAATTTCCCCAAGCAGCAAGCTTTAAATAATATGTACCTTCTTCTTTGTCTTCTTTCCCTGCCAAACCTTCATAATATATAGAACCTAAACGAAATTGTGCATAAAACTTTACGTTGCCAATACCATCATTAGCAGCCTTTCTATAAAGTTCTATGGCACGTGCTTGGTTTTTTGGGACCCCATAACCATTAAAGAGACAATCTCCGTATTTTGTATGTGCATCCGTAATATTTGCATCTGACGCAAGCTCAAAAAGATGAGCAACTTCTTTTTGAAGTTTCTTATATTTAGATAATTTATGCTTGCCATAAAACTTTTGTTGCATAAAACAGGCTTTATAATAAATTGCTTTAAAATCACCCATTTCAGAAAATTCATCAATATATTCTAGTGCTTTCTGCTTATTTCCACCCTTTTTTCTTGCTTCTTTTGCTGCATCTTCTATAGATAAAAAGCTATGTTGAGAAAAGGTTCCTTTGGAAGATTTTACACATAATACTGGAGTATTCACATATAACGCTGGAGTATTGCCTGGATTATTTACTATATCAAATAAAGTCCTAAACATGTCACAGATGGTTGGACGGTTGTCCGGCTCAAACGAAAGAGCTAATTGGAAAAGAATGCAAATTTTTAATATGATGTACATTTTTATTAAAAACAAATAAATTTATTATTTACCTTGCATCATAATATCTATATATTTTTGTGGCATGCAATTATTATTAAAATTATGTAATATTTGTTTATTATAAAGAATTGCATCCTTTATTGCATGAATATCATCATTGTAACCGTCATATGGGTTTTTTTCATTCAAAATTTCCCAAAGAACAATTCCGAAACTAATTATTTTGTAAGTGAATAAATAATTTAATTCAGAAAGAAAATATTGAAATGTTTTATCGAAAGTCCAACTGTATTTATATATAAACTACATACCTATAAATATCACTTTTAAAATCGTACTTGCATAATGAGGAATGTTTGCGTTCTACTATTTCTGGTGCCATACTTTTAATTCTAGCTCTATCAACTCCAAGATTACTTGAATTGCCTGAATTTAATCGGCTATGAGTAAAATTTGCAATCTTAGCATTAAGGCCACTTGTAATTAGAATATTTTCAGATCTAATATCTCGATGTAAAACATTCACAGCGTTTAAAAAGACTAATCCGGTACATATGTCTAGTGCGAATTTTAATTTGACTGAAAGATCCAAAGGTTTGTATTTTGCATAATATTCTTTTAAGTTTCCATGCTCTGCTTTTTCTGTAATTAAATACATTGAACCAGAGGATGATTCATTTTGTGATATTCCATAAAACTTAATGATATTTACATTTACAAAATCTCCTAGATTTTTTAAAAGAGCTGCATACACACACACTAAGTCCATCTGATATTCATTATAGTCGAGATTTTTAGTATCAATACCGTCTTCTTTTTGAATCGAATAGCCAAGAAGCTCATCAATAGAGAATGTCGATTTAGTGGCAAGTCGTGTACTTGTTCTTTCAATAGCTTTAAACATAACACCATAATCACCCTTGAAGTTGCGTTGAAGAGCATAAATAAGCTAGAAAATATAATTTAACTTTTAAAATTACTTGTTTAATCATGAAACTAGTAATATTAAAAATAAAATACCTTTGTTGTTTCTTCGATATCATCATTAAGTGAACTGTTAACTTGTTCATCGGTATAAGTTTTAAATTTGATAGATGACATTGATTTATTAAATTGTTCAAATAATTGTTCAAATTCAACTTTTATTAGCCCTAATGAGAATCCAGAATCAGACTCTCGAATGTAATTATTTAATCCTCTAAGATTAGAAATATTTTTAATAAAGCTATTGATTTTCCTAATGTTTTGGAGAAATCTCTGAAAGAGTTTATAATTGTCTAGTGTTGCGAAAGCAGCATGATTTCTTTTTATAGCTTGAAGATTTTTCAAATTGAATTCAGCTAAATTAATGCATTCAATTAATACTCCACAAATTCTTGTGTTAAGCTGTGCATTTCCGTGAGATATCCTGATTTTTGAAAAAAGTTCATTGGCTTCTATTAGGTATCTCATGTCGGTCTTATTACAACATAGTGATGGTTACCAATAAATATTTTGGATCTCTTGCAGTTTAGATGATGCCATTGTCATTGTTACTTAATCAGTTTGTAATTATGCCCCATATGCGGATTGTAATTGCATAACAAGGTTATGATTATCTGATTAGCAAGTGGAACGGGCGTTTGTGGTTTAATTATATAGATATTTGTTCAACCAAACAGTGCACACATCATTTACTTAAAATATGTACTTATTATTTTCCATTCTGACTAAATACAGAAAACGGGCAATA